TTTATACTGGGGACTCTGTCATTAAAAGGTTGGCTTGTAATTATAGTAAAATAGTATTACTACAAGTATATTTCTGCATAAGATTATAGTCTAATGGGGAAAGTCACGATTTTATTGTTTAAGTAAAAATGCATTGATTGCAAAATAACAGTATGTAATCAATATTGTATTTCAGATTGTGATATTACCAAGTCCTGTCTGTCCTTATCTGCCTGTGGTCACCAGTTCTGTAATGAGTGCTGGAGGGCTCACTTGAGGACCCAGATTGAGCACGGCCACACAGTTCTGAGGTGCCCTGGGTACGAGTGTAGTTCAACAGTTGATGATGTTACCTTGATGTCACTTGTGCCGTCATTGTATGGAAGACATCTGGCAAAGAGGCTTGATACATTCCTGGAAATGGACCCAGAATGGAAGTGGTGCCCTGCCGACCAGTGCAAGTTGGTTGTCAAGGCAACAACAACACAGGTCACCTCAGAAGCTTTTGATGCCAAGAATAATGCCAGTATCCAGCCAGTCCCAGTGGTATGTGTCTGTGGTACCATGTGGTGCTTCAAGTGCCAGGAAGATGCACACTGGCCTGCAACATGTCAGGAGGCACAGATCTTCAGACAAAAAAATGCATCTTATGCTCGGATGGTGACAACCAAGAAAAGAAGGGGGCTGATTACAAGCGTTCAAGTGAAGCATTGTCCCTCCTGTTACTACCCTGTGGAGAAGGGTCTGGGGTGTAATCACATGACATGCATCTTGTGCCACTATGAATTCTGCTGGGTTTGCCTCCAGAGGTTCAGTCACTCTCACGAATGTAGAATTGTTCATCTGCGAAAAATTCACCTGCCAACAAAAGTTGTTAATGAAATCTCTTATGAGCATGTTGCAGTTACAAGCCGAGTGGCAAGGGCATCAAATCTGATATGTAAGATTCATAGGAAGCTTGACAAGATAGAACAAGGACTAGACGTTTATGCAAAGAGTTTCCCCTTGAAGCCGGATATAAAGAGGGCAAGTCACACCGAGAAGCGTTTGATTCTCCTGTCTGAGAATAAAGTTGCCAACCATTTGAAAGAAGTCTTCAATTTCAAATTTCAGGCTCATCTAGTTTTAGAAGGTGTGGCCATTAGGCTATCATTTTCAAGTGGCACAACTTATAGTAAGAAACTTGCTATGGAATTCAGTAGGTTGCTCTTTATCGTGGAAAGAATGGATGAGATCCTGAAAGATTTGAACCGTTGTCTTGTAAAAAAAGAATGTTTGTTTAAACTAAAGAGATTCATTGAATTTGGAAAGAAATGCATTCTTTTTATTGGTAGAAATCCAAAATGAACTTGCTGTGACAAATGCCATTACTTTTTCAAAGTTATGTTAAATTATAACTACTACCAGGGTGTCCAGTTCCTATTTTTTCCTACTTTTTGAGTAGACTCCTACTTTCTCCTGTTTTTTTTAAATGAAACCTATTTTTCGTATTTTTTTGGCTGATTAAGCAGCATGTGTTACAAAATTGAACATGTTTGTCTCTGTTGCTTAGTTGATTTCTTTTCATAGCTTACATGTAGATATACTGTTTCCATACATATTTTTCAACGATTTTCTACAGCACCTATTGTACCTGGTTGTATTTATATAGTTCATGTGACTAAATTGACGTCAGATACCATTCTGTGTAGACCCATTGAAAGCTATTGAAAATACATTAAGTATCCATACAGTTATGTCATTATGCTGCACTCATGCTCACTTAATGATCAATAACTGGAGAAGCTCATGTCATTAAGTTGATGTACATCAAAGAGAAGAAAGCCAGATTAAGGTTGATCTCTTGGTGACTTATAGCTACATGTATATTAAAGGTAAACTGTTGTTTTAAAGTCAAATTAAGGGTGAACCTTTGTTTCATATTTGTAAGTCAAGAGTGAACTGTTGTTTTAAAACTTCACTAAGGATTTGTTGTGTTTGCTATTGTCTGCTGGTTTGATGTTGAAGTTTTGAAAAGACAAGGTGACACTAGAGTAGTTCAGTTGTTACTGCTAAAACCAGGAAATTCGAATTGATGAATTCAGTGTATAGAATCACGAGACAGTCTTGTTTCTAAGAAATTATTGAAATGTCATTTTGACAACTGATTGACAATTGGTCTTCATTTTTTTTTTTCTATTCATAATCTAATCTTTAGCAAACTGATGTTGTTATCACAATGACAGCTAAGAAGAAGAGTAACTTCTAAAATCAAAATGCTTGCATTGTCATTTGCACATTTGTATCACTTTTGATGGACTTAAGTGGTGGATTGGGATAGCTGATGGAGTGTTCAGAGGCTATCCTTTGTCCATCAAAGTAGTATTGGTTCTCCTATTTTATTCCTATTTTTTTTTAAAAAAAGCTCCTCTTTTTCCTATTTTTTCAATCATGAATTTCCTATTTTCCCATTTTTCTGAGCAACCATGCTGCTGGACACCCTGTAATACCCCTTTCACACCAACTAAACATTTTTAATTAAACCAGGTTTAACAAAATGACAATCAGCAAGAGAAAACTGGTAGACTGAATTCTAAATATGGTTCTACTAAGGGCTAATGGGTACATTCATTATGGTGGAAAAACTTTTGAACTGTGTTTAACTGAAAAGCTTTTTAACATGTCTAAGCTTTGGTGTGAATGGGTTATAATTAGAGGAGGGAACAGTTATTTTTGTAAGCTGAAGTTCCAATCCAGTTGTGAGTTATACAACATGTAGAAAATGAGTGATGAATAGTAATGAGATAAATAAATGTTCTTTCAGCATAAAGACGGTTAGTAATATTTAACAGCATGTAAATTGACTCTCTGTGTCGAGAAATATCTATACCAAAGTTAGTTCGTATCTGACCTTATCAAGTTGTGAGTCACAGAAAATGAGTGATATAGGATATAGAATGCTTAGTAATAAAACAGCATGTGATTTGACTCTCTGTCTTCTTTATGTTTACTGCAAACTAAGCAAATTATGCTACAAGCAGGTTATTCATTTTCAAGTCTTCATCAGGGGACATTGGGAGAGTGGAGAATTTTTGATACACTTTGACATGTTTTGAAATGCAATAACACAGTGTCCGGTGTTTCCAAACTTTTTTCCAAATGATAACAAAACTTCTCCATTCCCATTCAAACCATTGTGAGTGAGTGAGTGAGTGAGTAAGTGAGAACTTTATCAAAGTGTCAAAAACCTTATAGCCTGGAAATAATACACCATATTTATTAGGGGACACTGCTAAAAAACTATACTAATACTAATATTAATACAATAAAAAATAAATGACCTGAAGGGCATTATGTGCATAATAGGATGCAGTCCTTACAGCCGGTGTCCATTAAGTGAGTTATATCCCTTTTGCAAATATAGTTTGTAAAGCCTGCAGTGTCTTGGTTGATCTGTCAGCCATAGACAGTGTGCTCCATAATTTGGGTCCTACATAACGCAGAGAGTGCTTCCCATAAGTAACAGTTTTGTATCTAGGAGTAGAAAAATTGATTGTCTCAGGTTGTATGCGGAAATATGCTCGTTAAAAATGTTACAGCTGCTATTAGGACATAGTCTATGTTTAACTTTATACATGAGAATACACATGAGTATTTCCATGGCCCTGTTCTGGCATGGTCTGCCTTGATAGCTAAGGCAGGAAAATACCAAAATTATGGGAATTCGTAAACAAAAAAGAAATAGAGATGACCAAGGCCAGAAAACATTGCAATCTTAATGGCTCGTGAAATACGAACAAGGTAACTGTTGCAAGATGTGCCCTCAAGGCAGCTCCTTTCAATTAAAGGTGTGGCATCTGAACTGTCAAAACCTAAAAACCGGCAGGGAAAGATTGTGTAATCAGTGGTTTAAGTTTGTCAATAACTCCTTTGAAAAGTCTTACAAAACAAGCTTTAAATTTATTCGTCTCCTTATCTTCCTCCTCGTTTGTCTCAATGCAATAAGTTGGTATAACTGTTTTCTTTTTCCATTCATTCTGCTCAGAATGAAACATTTCAACTGACAATGCTGCTGAGTGTGACCGCCTGCGACCATCATAAACTTGCTTGAGGCCACCCAGAACATACAAACTTCCTTCATAGTGTACCATGCTTGCACACTTCCGAGGCTCCATGAGACTAGCCATCAAGTGCCATTCATTGGTAACTGGATTATAAACTTTACATGTACTGATTATGTCACTCCTCCATTGGCCACCTGCTATGTACACTTTACCATTCATGGAAGCACCAAAAGCACCAGATCTTGCCTGGTTGATAGGTGCAACTTCTTCCCATTCATTAGCACTGGGATCAAACCTTTCCGTTGTTGACAGGTACTGTCCACATGATATACCACCTATGGTGTACAAGTACTGTTCATCAGAAACAAAGCATGTGTCACGCAGAGGGGTGGGTTGTGCCTTTAATTTATCAAGGTAATTTTTCTCAGGATCATACCTGTATATCCCACGGTTCTGACCAAACTCATCACATTTAGCATACAGGTAGCCCTTTAAAACTGTGGTACAAGTAAAAGTGGTTGCCAGTTGAACCGTGCTATAGGAGTTGGTAGTAGGTATATAGAATTCCATTGAATTTTTGCTCTGGCAGTAATGTGGTTTGCTACAAGGAATGTAAACTTTATCCCTGCATTGAGCTGGAGTCTGGCTACCGTCATGATCATAAGCCATGCTTGACAGCTGGTACCATAAATCCCGCTTTGGAAAGTAACACAAAGATATTTTCCCACCACAAACAAAGATTGCATCCATGTGTGTTTCCAGGCATTTCCTTGGTTTCTGAATAACCTACCCAGCAGTGGCACTCACAATTAATCTGATAGCATCTAACACAAAATTCAAGCAGAGCACACTGTTTTTA